CAACATCTCAGGACATGGCAGCATGTACCTTTGCCACTGATGGAAGTGTGATGGCTTGGTGATGTCAGATCACCTAGAATTCATCTTCCTCCCCACCCCCCAGGAAGCACCAAAACAAACCCTCCTTTCAGATAAAAGGATTTTACAGAGTTTTTGAAATAAGAGGTGGCTGGGCACACAGCCAGCTGAGATCTGGGAGGAAGGTGGCCTGGGCAGGGGAGCTGGGAGACTTGCCAAGACGGGGACAGGATCCCCAGGAGGAAAGGAAAGACGTGGTTTCAGGTGGTAGTTTCTGACTTGTCTCCACCTTCTTCATAAGACATTAGCGAGTAAAGTCGATCCCCCACCAATCTCAGTGAGTAAAGTTAAACCTAAGAGAGCACATGGGGCAAAAGGTGCTGAGAACCATGGCCAGGGGCTTATGTGTGTCACCCCTGAATCCATGCAACCCCAGCAGACGCTTCCCAACATCAAAAATGGGAGGAATCCAAATTTTTTACTTCCTAGACACAGCCTCTTTGTCAATCCCCTTTCAGCTCTCACAAATATGTCAGGTGGCACAAGGAATGGCTCCACTGCAAGCTGGGCAGAACTGTATGTGACACACACACACACACACACACACACACGTGCACACACACACACACATACATGTACCCTCGCCAGAGGGTGCTCGGCCTCCAAACTGCCTTTCCCTTTTTCCAATTCTGTCTCCAGTCTTAAAATAGTTTCCCTTAATGATTAAAACACATGAAAAAGGTGTAAATAATTCTGCAGATGGGGGCATCCGAGGGGTTAGTAAGTATGAGACGAGACAACTGCTCAACCTCAACACAAAATGGAGAAACGCAAAACAAAGAGATATCAAATTATACCCATTTGATTGGAAAACATTATAAAGTCAGATAATACTAAGAGTAAGATATGATGGAAAGACTGAGAACCTGCAGGCACTGCAGGTGGGAGGGTAAACTCAAGGACATCAAGTAGGTGTACCCCTGGACCCAGAAATCCCACTCCTGGAGGAACACCCAGATGCTCTTACACAGGTCCTCAGGAAACCGATTCCAAGGATGCAGAAAAGAGTTGAGTGCATGGACAAGGAGAGAAATAATAAATAAATGCCCATTGTAAGGTAATCAGGCAATGTAGAAATATATCATGAATAATGCGTGCATACATAATAATCACCCACATTCGCATATACACACACACATAGATTTCTTTGCATGTGCATATATTTATTTATTTAAATGAGCTCATACTAAATGTGCTGTTTTGCAACCTGTTCCAGTCCACTGTAAGGGTTACCAGAATTAACCAATGCACAATTGTTGGATACTTAGGTTATTTAAACCTTTTCGCTTATTAAACAAAGCTGCTCTGAACTTCACTGCCTGTGCATCTTTGCTTCTTCTTCTAATTAAATTAGAAGCCAAGGATATGTATCACAGTGAAAAATGTGTACCTTAGGAATGGAAGTGCTTGGTTAAAGGCATATATATATTTCCCTCCCCCCCCGTTCCCCACTACAGTACAAATTCTTGGCTTCTGGTTTTAACAATTTCCTTGGATCCACATTTTTTCTGTTGTCTGGCAAAGTGATCCCTTCAGGGAAAACAGGCAAATGGGCTAGGGTCTCCACTTTATAAGCCATAACACTACACTCTTCCTCCCTTGTTGTTCTTAAGAAAATGGAGGGCCATCATGCAAACACATCCCTCTCTCACAGGTTTCCAATATCATGCATCTAGTCACTGGGAACATTCTGAGAAGCGCCTGCAATGTAAACTACTTAGAAGTTCAACAGTCACTCGCTAAAAATATCTTTATTAGATGCCACCTTGTGCTTGGAGCCACAGTAGGTGTTAGAGACATACGATTAAGGCCCAGCCCTGCTCTCGGGAGCCCTCAGCCTGGCACGGCAAAGGGACATGTTCAGTAGCACTCTTGATTCCACATAGGAAATTCAAAATCCCCATGTGCTCTGGGAACACTTGGGCCCTGACAAGGGAGGCTTTTCAGAGGAGATGACACAGCAAGGAGCTGGCAGTGTGGTCTTGGTAGCAAAGGGGACTCCAGGCAGAGGGTTTGAGTGGGGCAAGACATGCATGTCTGAAGCCATGACACCTTTGGGGAACCCCTAGAAGTCCAGCAGGGCTGGGGCAGCGGGCAGAGGCGAGACTGGGGCTGGAGGAGGAGGCGAGGCCCTGGCCATGAAGAGCCAGCTTGCCTACATGCTGAGGAGCTTGTGCACGGTTGGGGTGGGTGGGCAGAAGGATGGGTGAGACCAGAGGGAGGGTGGCGGGAACAGGGACAAGGCTGGCAGCAGGAGCACCGGCCTGAAGGCTATGGCTGTGATTCAGAGACAAAGTAGGACGTCGGTTGGGCAGAGCGCTGGATGGGGGAGAAGCTTCAGCGGTGAGAAGGTTGTGGGCACAGGTAAGACAGCCTCAGGGAAACCATGGGGTGGAATGGCCGAGACATGGTAACTGCCTGCTGAGGAGCTGGGAGAAGGAGAAGGTAAGAAGGACGCCAGCCAGAGCAGCAGGCCTTCGGGGACCTGATAAACTGAGCCTGCGGAGGACCGTGTAAAGGGGGAATGGTCACAGTACAGACCACCAAGCAGTGAGATGGGCTAGCGCTGCCCTGGCCACAGGCTTGTAGAATGTTCTAGAATCCAGTGGATGACTCACACCACGCTCTAAGATGCAACTTTCTCCTCTACCAAGGAGCACGTGGGGACAGTACCATTCAGGCCCTTCCCAGCTATAAAATGCCCTAAGTTCCTGTCTACATCAGAAACCAGGGTGGCAGATGTCCACCTGGGAACTCACCCCAACAAGACCACCTTCCCAGGAACAGGAGGCAGATCAAATTCCTAACAGGCTTCTCAAGGAAGGTGGAACCTTCTCCCAACACACCACACCCAAACCAGCGAGGACCCACCCTGCCAGGCCTGAGTGCCTGCCGGCTCTCCACCCAAACACACAGCTCAGGGCCCTCACATCTGGATGCATGCTGGCGGCCTCCCCCCTTCCTGCCCCCCACTCCTAGATAATAAGGAGCAGACTGGCAAAATAGTTCAAATACCTTCTTAAAAAGTACACCGCCTTGTGGGCTCGGCAGCCTATTTTGAGCTAAATGTTTCAGACCTCCAGGCTCAGAGCTGCTCTAGGCATCAACATTCGCTCCAGCTGAAGCATCAGGAGTCAGTGAAGGATGGAGGGATATCCCCTGACTGCCAGGCCGGTGTCGGGCACAGAGACATAGGGATGGACTGGTCATGGCATGTGGGAGCTGGGCCCTAAACCCAGCCACCGAGCACAGCATGAGAAAGGCTGCAGGGAAGATGCACAAGGCTTGGGCTGCGGGAGGCCGGAAAGGAAGCCACAGCCTCACTGAGTGTCCAGGAAAACTACACAAGGGAAGGCGCATGGGAACTGGGCCTTGGTGGCTGTGTGCAGTCTGGGCAGGTGTGGAGCAAAAACTGGCCTAGGAGTGGAAGGCATACACCAGCACCACGTAGGTGTAAGAAAAGGAGCACGTGACAGAGAAAGCTCAGCAGGGCTGGCTGATGGCTGCAAGGTACACTGGGGCCAGTTTGCAAGGGCCCCGAACGCCATGTCCAGGTCATGGCTACAAGGAGCCACTGAAGCTTGTAAGCAGAGGTGCGAGGGCAGTGGGAAGACAATGGTGAAGGGAGGCAATTCAATTCCCACATCAAGGGAACAGGCACAGTGAGGAACACTGTGGCCTGAGCCTGGGCAGGGGACGGTGGGGTGAACGGAGGCACACAGGTCCCCTTCCCATTTTCTCAGGTCCACTGGCATTTAATCCTATGGACCCACACGGAAACACCTTGACTCAGCCTCACAGCAGCAGCAAACCTACAGGTAACTCCCCACCCTGCACTTCCAGGTCTGGTTTGCTCCCTGCGGAGAACAATCCCCTGGCCCCAAACCTCCAACAGCTGATCAAACATGCAAGCACATGGTGCACTTGGAAGGGGCGGGAACTGGCAATGGATAATCACACACACACACACACACACACACACACACACACACACACACACACACGCGCGCGCGCACAGGTCCCCGCGACCCACCTGAGTAACAGGACACATTTGGTCCATTTCCTGCAAAAACACTATCTCCCAGGCGTTAGGGGAAAACATCCTCCTTGCAGCCACTGCAGCTCTCTCCATCTCACTACTCCAGGGGTCCGGGGCTTCCTTCCTAATTTCTCAGACACTTTCTCCCTGAACTTGAGCGACCTACAAAAGCCTCTCCACGACCCCCCACGTCCCTGGAATCTTCATTGGGTCAGGTCAGTCAGGGGCAGAGGAGGGTGATCTGTGTCCCTGCTAACAGAAAGTCACTGAGGCCACCAAGAGTCACCAAGCATCCTGGAGCCCAGCTCCAATCCTGGGCACAAAGCGCACCCCCAACAGGCATCCTGGGGACCTCCCCACACGCTAGACGCTGCTTCTTTTTGAAGCACGAGGGAGCAGTTTAAAAGGCAGGTTGGGTGTGAGGGAGCCTCAGACAGAAGGGAGGGAGGGGTAGCAAGGTGGCTAAGGTTAAAGTCAGACGGACCTGGGTTCAAATTCTACCTCCGCCACTGAGTTTACTTGGATAAGCCTCTCTGCCTCCCTGGAAATCTTTTCCTCATCTGTGAAGTGGGTATAAAAAACTAAATTCCGTGTAAGGTTATCAAAATTCGGAGCACTATTGTTAATGTTAAGTATTAACAGAGTTTAAGGGGCTCCAATATTTATTTTATATGTACATAGTTAAAAGGGAGAAAATTCCTAAAATGTTACCAGGAAACACCAGGCAAGCGCACCCCTGCGGGGCTGGGTAGGGAACCGCCGGGCTGGCTGCAGCGCACCAAGGCGCCGACTGGGAGCACAGCCGCGCACCCAGAGCATCTGTGCGCGCAAGTTGGCGGTGCAGGTGGACCTGCAGGGGGAGGAAAAGGGCGGCCGGACCCACCTGAAGACCCGCAGCAGCAGGCAGGCGATGAGGAAGGCGGTGAAGGCGCACGCCACGATCACGGCCGCCTTCAGGGTGGGCAGGTCGCGGAGCAGGCTGGAGATGCGGGTGACCAGGGCGTCGCCGCTGCTGTTGAAGCTACCACCGCCCGCCGCCACCTCCCCGGACACGGTCCGGGTGGTGTTCCCGGGCCCCGGGCCGGGCGGCGAGCGCTCCGGCTCGGGCCGCGGCGCTAAGGACTGGGCACGGCTGGCGTGGGCAGCGGGCGCAGCCAGGAGCGCCAGCAGCAGCAGCTGCAGCAGCGGCGCCGCGCGCATGGTGTGGGCGGCAGGCGCCCGGCCCCGCAGGGTGCGCGGCTGAGCCCGGGTACGCACCCACGCCGAGGCCTGCACCCAGGGATCCCGCTGCCCAGGCGGCTGCGCGGTGCTTGGCAGGAAACTGCGGCGCCCGGAAGAGCCCGCGCCGCCGCCGCCACCAACACGTTGCACCGAGTCATTCGACGGGCCGCGTCCCCACGTGGGCGGGGCAGGCCACCAGGCCTGAGTTGCGGGCTGAGCTCCGCTCCTCCACCGCCCCAATTCCCCTGGGGACCCGGGACCCCCTTGAACAAGTAATAATGGCCCGGCTCACTCTTGTACAGGTTCTTTGCCGTGGAGTTTGCGTTTTATTTCATTTAATCCTGCAACCCCCTTGTTAGTTAGGTCTCTGAATGTTAGGTCTCAGAGACCTTGACTTACAGACAGAGCCATGTCTGCAAGAAAACAACAAAACGTCTGTTGGCCTGCACCTGTAGACAGAGCCAAACTTGTGATAACAGAAAATGCCCAAAACAGCTACTGGCTTACAGGCAGTCAGCATTTTCTGTTCAAACAATGCTACCCTGTCGGCACCGCCCCTATAGAACCCTCCTCACCCACTCCCTTGGGGCTGCACGTTTGTGCAGCCCGGGCTGTAGCCATCTTTGCTCAGCCTGATAGACGTTCTCTTAATAAAATAGACTTTCTTAAACTTTCTTAACTTGTTTGACGATGTGCGTTCCTTTACCGGCTGACCTATCACCCCTTAGGGGACAGGTATTTCTGCTATTCTCATTTTACAGTTGATTTAGGACCCAGAGAGCCAGCTCTTAGCAACCCACATAGTGCCAGACTAAGACTCCAAGGCTATGGGACCTGAGAGGAAACACCCATTTCACACATGGGGACTTTGAAGCCCCTAGAGTTAAGTGGGTTGCCCATTGCCCTGTAATTGCATATACTTCCCCAATTTCCCTCTTTCTCTCAGAAAGAGTTTATCTCATGGCTTCAATGATTCAGACATCTTTGCACCTCTGCTTATGAACCAGATTGGGATGTGCATTTCTGCACTCATAACTTCCATGTGGGCAGCAGTGGGGGGATTAACAGTCTCCCTCCCAGGCTAAAGTTTCAGACCCCAGGAAGTAACTGTCTCTGCTCTGCAAGCCAAATGATGCTTAAGTGAAGAAAGACAATTACGGAGGTTCTAGTGTGAGGCCCAGAGGTGGGACTTGGCGGACGGCACAGGGGGCTCTCCTGGAGCACGAGGAATTGTATACACTGAGGGCCTCGGGTCCCTCCTTTCCCCCAGAGGATGCATTCTGGCAGAAAACTCTCCAGTGGTGGGTAAACAGGTGAACACACATGACAAGGACACAGTGACCTTAAACAGCTCACCCCCGACCTGCTAGAGAAAGAGACAAATAAATACAGTAGATTCTATTAGTTGGCTACTGTTGCCTAACAAACTACCCCAAACTCTGAGGCTTAAAACAGCACATATACGTTATTCTCTCACAATTTGCATGAGTCAAACATCTGAGCATAGCTTATCAGGATCCTCTGCTTCAGAGTTTCTCACAAGGGTGCAGTCAAGGAGCCAGCTGGGGCTGGGGTCTCACCTGAAGGCTGGAGTGGGGGAGGACCTGCTTGCAAGCCCAGTCAGCTCCTCACGGGCTGTTGCAGTGCAGCCTCAGTTCCCCAATGTCTGTTGGCCACAGGCTACCCTCAGCTCCTTGTCATGTGGGTTTTTCCAACATGGCAGCTTCCCTCATTGAGATGTACAAATATAGAAAGCAAAAAAGAGATCTGCTAGCAAGACAGAAGTCACCATTCTTATGAAACCCCATCACAGATGTGACATCCCAACACCTTTGCTATGTTCTGTTAGTTAGAGGGAAGTCACAGATCTTGTCCACAACTCAAGCGGAAGGATGACACAAGGGTATGAATATCAGGAAGTGAGGATTACTCAGGCCATTTAACAAGATGCCTGACACTGTGTGTGACACATTTTGAGTTCATGGTATGAACAATAATCAAGTTATCAAAAGTCATTACCCAGGAAGCGCTACTTGAAAAGCACAATGACTATTCCAGTGGCTCCAGTGTTAAGAAATTTGGACAGATCACATGATTCAATTATCTTCCAACTCTAAAATACCACTTTATGGTATGTCAAAAATGTCACTCTGGTATACAGCCATCACTATCATATAATCATAATAGAATATATGAAAGAAATTCCTTGAAGAACCACCTCTGACGCCCATGATTTTGCAGCCCTTCCCTCTAAGGATAGCCCTCAAGACATCACAGGTTCACATTTTTGTCCTGATCAGAAATTCTTGGATGATAGAGACAAGCGGTATCGGGTTTTGAGCCTCTCAGCCAGGACGAGAGGTCTGAACACTGAGGCCTTGGACATGGACTTAACCACCAAAGCCAAGGTTTTGTTTTGGTTTTTTTAATGTCTAAAATGAGGACAATAATATTTAGCTCAATCAGGTCCCTGAAAGATCCATAAGAAGGAGAAAATATTAGAACCCTTATCCTTCTTTTGCCACAAGTCATGGACTGGCATAGATTTGTTTCACAATGTAAAGCTAACTTAACACCAGGAATGTAGAAAGTATAAATGTTAGATTTTCTTTTTAAAGTGAAACTTCAGAATATTCCATTTTTCCTGATTATTTGCTGTGTAAATTATCACAACAAAGGACTTACTTATAAATTGCCCTAAATTAGAGTTCCTTAAACAATGACATTTTTTAACATAGAACACAGATGACAGGCAATGGAAACCAATTCTGGCTGATTTCAGAAAAAGGGAGTTTATCAGAAGCACACTGGGTTGCTTCTGGAATCAAGCTAGAGCAGAAATTCTCAAAGTGGGGTCTATGGATTCCTGGGGTCCCTGAGACCCTTTCAGGGAAACTGCAAAGTCAAAACTGATTCCATAATAATACTAAGATGTTATCTGATGTTTTCACTGCGTTAACATTTGCACTGATGGTGGAAAAGCAATGGTGATGAAAACTGATTGTACCTGAGCATGAATCAAGATAGGCTGTACTCACAGCAACTGCATTCTTCACGACCTTGCACTATAGAAAAAAAATTTTTTTAAAGAGCCAGCTTTACTTTAGAATGTCATTGATATATCCATGAAATTATTAAACCTTGACCCTTGAAAACAACAGATCATTTTAATATTTTACGTGATGAAATAGGAAGCGTGAATAAAGTCACTTCTGCTGCACACTGAAGTATGATACTTGTCTCCAAAACAAGGACACGTGCAGTTCTTAGAGTTGCACACTGAACTCACCACTTTTTTCATGGAACACCATTTTCAATTAGAAGAGTGCCTATTAAACTTCAGACCTGGTCTTGGGCAAGCATTGTCTCAAAAATGCACAAGATGATGAGCCTCTCAATTCAGGGATAACAACTGACAGTTTTGTAGCCAATGAAAAAATTCAACCTTCATGGGAAAACCTGAATTTTTAGACAACTTGTCAATTTGGATGCTTTCTACCATGAGCTGGACTGCTTTCCAATAATTCAAGACTTTTCTGATGAGCTTGGTGGTAAGACTTAAAAGTGTGGGGTTTGGATATTGTGTAACAAAATATAACAAAATTTGGAAGATCTGCATAAATCAGCAAACAAATTTTTCCCAATCACCAATGCACAATGTTACAAAATCACAGGTAGGTAAAAGATCCATTTCAAGTGCAAGACAGACAAATGGATTTTGATGAAACAAAGTACAAAATTTCATCAGTATAATTCCAAATGTCACATTGCAACTAATCTTTAAGAAACTACTAGAAATTTTTATGTGGCATCAAAGAAGAAAAGACTCTGAAAATCTCCTCCTTTTTCTGAATGAATATCTGGGTCGGGCTGAACTTTCTTGATATTCTTCAACCAAAACAATAACTCAAAACAGCCTGAATGCAAAAACAAATATGAAAATCCAGCTATTTTCTATTAAGCCAGACATTAAATAGATTTGAAAAAAAAATGCTAAACAATGCTACTGTTTTCTCTAATTTTGGGGGGAAATATAGTCATTTTTCATAACTATATGTTATCCATGTTAAATATGTTAATGTATTTATTATTTTGTTCTTAAATTTTAAATTTCTAATACAATAAATATCAATTCAGTATACACAAATAAACAAAAGTTCTTTGAGGTCCTTCATGTTTCTTAAGACTGGGAATCAAGAAAAGACCAAAAAGTTCCTGAGACTAAAAAGTAGTTGGAAAAATGCTGAGCTTAGAGAATCAGGCTTGGAAAAAAAGAAGCAAATCAAATGGGATACTTTCTGCTCTGGGAAACAGAAAACCCAACTTGAACTGACTCAAACGAAAAAGGAAATCTCTTCTCTTGCTTAAAGGAAGTCCCAGGTGGGGAGGCCCCAGGGTTGGCTGATGCTGCGGCTACATGGATGTCATAGACCCTGGGTCTTCCCATCTCTCTACTCTGCTGCCCACAGCATTGGCTTCAACCTCAGGAGGGTGACAAGATCACTGCAGTGGCAATTAGGGTGACATGCCTTCTTGGTCACATACAGCAGGTGAGAGAAAAAAATCTTCCCACCTCTGGGTCTGACTAGTCCAGCTTGAGTGACAGTCCATGAGGGGAATGTCATGCCCTGATTGAACTGCACCCACCTAGGAACTAGGGTTTGGGGAGCTTCCTGAGGAAAATTCAAGGAGAGGGCAGGTTCTGTTAGAGAGGAGGAAAGGAAGAAATGGACGTTGCATAGAATACAGCTCCCGTTCCAATAGGCAAGATACAGGGAGCTGAGTCTGGTTGCACTTCTAGCACCAAAGCCAAAATGAGACCCAAGAAGGGCTCTGTTAGGAAGCTTCTAAGCAGCGGCACTGTGCAGCAGATGCTCTTCAGGCTCCAGCATCACCACCGCCTGCTCCGGCACTGGACCGTGGATGCCACCGCCATCACCTCTGCTGAAAGACTAAACTTCTAAACTGCCCGTAAATTGCAATCACTTGCTTGAAATTCAATCTCCAGCTGAGAAGAGGAGGGCAAATTCAACCCAATCTAAATCAGAAAAGTGACCAGCCCTCCAAGACGCCTGAGTCCGAGAGGGTTCCCAGGATGCAGGACTTTCCAGGTGAGAACCAGGCTCGTCCCAGACAAAGCAGGAAGAGTGGGTCACCGTACCCAGCCAGCCTCTCTGAGCTCAGGTAATGTGGCTGCTGGCTAAGCCCATGTGCATGCCTCCCCTGTGTGTTCCCCGGCACACAGGCTTTCACAACAGCTAA